ATATGCATGAGAGAGTAAGAAAATAGAGAAAATAAGAATCTGGCTAAGGAGGGCAGACATGGGAGTTTCAAATACTTGCCTAAGTTTCTCCTTTTCCACCAAATTTCCAGTTCAGCTCATTGAAGGATTTCTGTGTATACCCATAGCAATTCTCCATTGTAATCAGGAAGGTCGATTTTTTTTAATATAAAAAATTGCTTTAAGCTTGCAGTTGCAAAGACTATTCGTGTTTGTGTGGTTTCTTAGCGTGGTTTATTAAAGAACAAGGATTGTATGTGCATATTCACACTGTATTCCACCGCACTCTGAAAGCCAGTGTCTGCCCTTTTCAATGATCGCAGTTGGATTACCCTCCCCCACCAGGAAAACATACCGCCTCGGGAGGGCAGCAGGGAGCCAAAAGTCCTTGCTGGTCCGCAGGGCTGGGTTCAAGTTTGTGTCTATTTTTTTCTTGAAGAAACTCAACGCATGGCCCATTTCCTCAAAAAGTGAGGGTAAGATTAGACACAGGAAATAGGTAGTGGGGTTTAAGCTGTTATTATTAAAATACAACATTATGTTTAACTAGCCATTCATCACATTGGTCTGAACTATCCGGGGAAGATTTCATAATGATTTGAGCTGGGCCTGGAAAAACAGATCTAATGTTTGGTGGAACAGAGAGGAGAAGGGAGTCCAGACCTTCCCAGCCCTCCTATCTGCTGCCCTTGACAAGTGCCCTGGGCTCCGTGCCTCGGAGTCCCTCATCTATGAAATGGGGACAGTGGTACCTTCAGAGGTTCACTGCAGCAGTGAAATGAGTAATGTCTGTGGAGGCAAGCACAGGCCTGACTTGTAGGAAGTCTTGGTACACGTTCTTATTATTAATCTTATGTGCTGGCGAGCATGGGTGTGGTGGGACTGGTGGAGCTACTTTGGACGGTAGGCACATGAGGCAGAGAGGAAGGCTATGACTGTGGGCATCTCGGGAGCCAGTCTGAGAAGCCCGGCCAGGGGAAGCTGCAACGGGGAAGCTGCCAAAGGCTGCTGAGGATTCCCAATGGACTGAGGCTCTCCTTTCCCCACCCAACCACCACCAGCATTCCCGAGGTTCCTGGGACTGTGGGATGGCCACTACCTCCTGAGACCCACCGTGGCAGCTGTCAGAGGTCTGCAGGACTGGGACCTACCCCCAGGCCCACTTGGCAGGACATTTTTGGGCCCCTCCATGGAGTAGGCAGAGTCACCACCAGCAGCCCCCACCTCCAGGACCATCTAGAAAAATCCCATTTATTTAGTTCTTTCTGTGGTGGTCCTGAGCTAGCCCATGAGGGTTGCACACAATCCCTCATATACATAAAACAGGATGAAATATGTATCCCCTTTGCCATTGTTGGGAGGTTGGGTTTGTTCTCCTGCATTCTTGTCCAACCGCAGCAAACAACTGAAGAGTAGAGATAAAGCAGTGAAGCAAATAGAAGTTTTATTTTAATACACTCCAAGGGAGGAGCAGGCCAGAGTCAAGGTAGACAAAGGCAGGTTTATCTGAATAAAGTAGAGAGGAAGGAAAAAGAGAGGGAGGGAAGGGAAGCTCATTGAACTCCTGCTTCACATGGGTCAAATCCCTTACCAGCTCCTAAAGCCAGTGTCAGATGGCATCCAGTATCTGCTTGAATCTGCACCATGTGGGAACTGAGTCCCTCCCACTCCAGGGATGTGGGTGAGCTGCAGAGCACTGGATGGAGTGAGATTATGTTCTGAGAACTTCCCAAAGGCAAAGAAAGGCGATTTTCGGACAGATGAGTAAAGAGCTGCAGTCCTATTGGAATCACCCAAGTGATAGGAACTTGCAAGCCCAAATCAGCGCTCCCAGCAGCCCCTCCCTGCATATCTGAAATAGGACAGAGAGAGTGAAACACTTAAAGAAAGGTGAGTGTGGGAAACCTCAGAGAGGAGGAGGCACATCAGAAAGCTGGAATTCTGTCTTCTAAGGAGTTTCAAGAATGGGATAAAGATTAAGGGTCGGGGGTGTAGGCTTGTCAGGTGGTCTCAGATGTCTATCTCTGGTGAGAGATAATATGTCATTGTTTAAAGCCAGTCCTCTAGGTAATTCCATAGGACAAACTTTTTGTTCCTCTCCAGGATAGTGGCCACTCCCAAGTATTGGGAACACATCAGTTAAGACTGCTTGCCCTGCCTTAGGACAAGCGGTTGGCAATTACCAAAGCATATGTTAGGGAATCTAACCCTCTCGACTATGCTCTTAAAATGGAATCTTATCCTCAAGATAAGTCCCTCCTATTCCCGCTATGCTAGTCACATCTCAGCATTTTTCATCATAGGCGGGAAAAGTTCATCATGATGCTTGTCCCAGGTCTCTGCTCTCTCTCACCTGCATCAGCTGGAGCAGGTCTCAAAGTCAGTGCAGACTCAGAGCCTGTGGATTGAACTCACACTGTGAGTCCTTTCTGGCTCTCTGGCTTTAGCTGATTAACAGCCTGAGTGCTTGCTTGGTGGGCCTCCCCCTCTTTTCATCCTGCTCATATCTGTCTTTCTCCCTAGCACCATGACAGCTCGTACCTGCCACTCTGAAGACAGATCTGCAGTGGGGAGATGTGTGAGGGAGCCCACAAAGGCTTGGCTTTTGAGTCCCTGGACTCAGAAGGGTGTAGCATCTTTGTCCAAACCCACATGGGGGATGGAGGGGCAAGCCATTCTACAAGGTAGGGGATGTGGTCAGAGGATGGTGAGGCCAGCAGCCTGTTGGCTGAGGTTCCACATGTATAGGGACGCCCAGCCAGCTCAGGTCTGTGGTCTGGAACCAGGTGCCATGAAGTCAGATGTAGAGAAATGAGCCCCAGCTAGGACTTCCTAGTAAGCAGTGAAGAGGGCACCAAGACCCTGCAAGTGCTGCCCTGGATACATGTCCCCAAGAAATCCTCCAGGGTGGGAAGGGGTCCAGGATGTTCAGTGTCATTGGGGGTGGACAGCCCAGACCCGTGGATGGGCTAACACAGACAAGGGAAAAGGGAAGCCTCCCTGGAGCTGTCGCCAAGGACACCGGGCTGTGGGCCAGCCGGCGCGCGGGGCTCCCCACCGGGGGCGGCCGGCGAGCCCAGCGGTGACAGCGGGGCTCCCTCTGGCGGACCTGCAGGCTTGGACCCGGGGACCTGCTAGAGCTCCCGAGGGTTGCGGCCTCCCAGGCAGCTCGCTCGTTAGAAACTTTCACACTAACGAGCCCTAGAGGGACCCTCGCTCGGGCGCGAGCCTCTGGGCCCCAAGCAGGTGCGCCTAAGGCCTGAGGAGCAGGTTCCAGGGAACCCGGGTGTCCTCCTCTCCCTGCCGCGTCCCACTGGGGAGCCCCTAAAAGAACTTCTCGGGGGCCAGGTCCGCCTCCTGCTTCCCACATGCTCTATCAGTGACCGCGAAAACAGCTGCGGGAGACGGGCCGCCTCCCAACACTTTGTTTTCTCCTTACTATCGTTGTTACTGATAAAACAGCACACCTCAGCCCAGCCTCCCCGCTGGGCGCGCCCCCCAGCACACCCGCCCGCTGCTCCGCCCACAACCACCTGTCCTCCCGCCCCGCTGGCGCTGCGCTCCCCCCGGTTGGTGGGTCTGCAACCGCGTCTCCCCTGGTTGCTCCGCGCCCACCACGCCCGGACTGGGAGCGCTGGGGGCGTGGTCCTTGCGCCTCCTTTCCTTCCTGCTGGACCCTCTGGGCCCAAAGCAGCGGCAAGGCAGCCCGCCGACCGAGCACTGCCACAGCCCTAACCTGTGCTGTGCACACCGATCCCTTTGACCCGCCTCGCCACCGCATGAGGAAGGCGCAGGCACTGCCAGACGAGGCCTGACTTGCCCTGAGAGTGAGGGGTCACACACACTCTTAATACAACTGTTCTGCAACCCTGAATGCTCATTTTTTTTTTTTTGAGAGGGCATCTCTTGAATGCTCATTTTAAACAAGCTTTTTTAGAAAATGTATTAAAAAGACAGATATAAGAAAAAAAGCCGAAAGCCCACCCCACATCCCATGCAGACACATCAGAGGATGGACATGTGTATTGTCACGGTAAAATTGGATCATTTTATGCATCATTTCATTTCTGTGACATACACTTTTCATTTTTTAAACTTATGGCAAATTCTCCATTTTGGCAGTTTTGGATGGGATGACTTCCATTACTCCCATTCAACTACTCCTGTCTTGAAATAGCCACTTACCTCCTTCATTTAATTGGCATTTCTTTAAATTTACTTTATTGCATCTTTATTATTTATATAACTCCTTTAGCTTCTTCACAGGCAATACTATCAAGTTCAGTTTCCAAGGTGCAAGTTACTTGTCTTCTAAGCTACATTAAAGCTTTTGGTTTTTTGTTTTAGCATTTTATAGCAGGTTTATTGAGGTGTAATTTACATGCAATAAAATTCACTCATTGTAAGTGTATAGTTCAATGATTTAGTTAATGTACAAAATTCTGCAGCCATCACCTACTCCACTTTAAGAACAGTTCCATTCCTATAAAAATTTCTTCATGTCTATTTGCAGTCAATCCTGGCTTCCTCACTTAGCTCAAGCAACTACTGATCAGCTTTTTGTCTCTATGGATATGCCTTTTCTAGCAATTTCACATAAATAAATGGCAGGAGTGGAATTGCCAGGTTGTAAGTTTAACTTTGCTATACCAAAAAGTCAAACATAGAGTTGCTGCACTATACCATACTATATCCAGCAACTCCACTCTTAGGTATATATCCAAAAGAATAGAAAACATACATATTCAAAAACTTGTATACACAATATTCATAGTAGTATTTTTCAATGGAAACAAACCAAATGTCCATCAACTGGTGAGTGGATAAACAGAATGTAGTGTATCCATACAATGTAATATTATTCAGTCATGGAAAGGAATGAAGTGGATGTCTGCCTCCTCCCCGTCTCTAACCCGCAGGTAAAGGAGGCGATGCGATGAGTTATCGAAGACCTGAGTAGGCCAGCCAGGGGACTCAAGGCGTACCAGCTCAAGAGTGGTGCTGGAAAGGCACCTCTCATATTTATTGATCAGGTATCACATTCTTGAGTGGGTTAACAAGTTTCTAGACACAAAGATTAATATGCTTTACTCCAGGAATATAATTGCCCCCAGGTCACTGGGGCAAGTCGTCCCTGTTGCCAGGCAATGAGGGGGTACAAATAACAAGGAACAGATCTCGGTTTGGATTTAGTGAGCTGCAACATGCACCACAGATAACAAGGAAGGCAAACTCCCATAGAAACAGAATGATCTATGGATGGCAACCTACATTTCCCGTTTTTAAATTAAAAAGGAAGAGAAGTCTGTTATTCCACGGCAGCTTGGTGTAAAGAAAAGGGGAGACAAGAAATGCCTCGTCAGGGGGGGCGAGGTGCTAAGCCACGCCTCAGTTGACCCCCTCATCTCTCGACCTGTTGGGCCCCGCGACTGTGCCTGTCTTAGGTTGTTCCTCCCATGAGGAATCTTACGCGTCTCTGGCTAGCCAGCCATTTCTTGGGGCCGTACAGGGAGTAAATGTGATAGAGCAAAGAGGCATACAAAAGATTTATGCAAACACTTCGTCATCCCCTTAATTGCTGCGGAATTTAAAAACATATGTGATCTGTCACATGGACTCTCAAGAAGATAACATGCAATTATTAATTTTTTGCCATGACTTCTTGAAATACAGCATATGCATGAATGGGCTTTATTAAGCCAGCAATCAGATGGCGCACCCATGTTACTAAAAACAGGAAGGCAAATGCATAAAAGAAGGAAGCCTACAAGTATTGGCCATAGCCAGTGAAACCAAGAGAACCGATCAGGTAATCCAGGTAATTGTGAAAACTTATCAATAATATGGTGACTATCATCCAACTGATTTTGAATTGTCTGTTAAAAATCAGATATATTAAAACAACACATTCCAGGAAATTGTTCCTAGCCCAAATGTTCTTTCAGCAACAAATAGTCCATGGTAGCACGATTCTGAAGCACTGCCACTCGAACTTCTCCAGGTTCCTGATTAACTTCTGACAGTATGGAAGCAGTCAGATCTGCAGTCTTGCTGTAGGCACAGGCCAGCTTAGATATTTCCTTCTGCATTCCTACAACGAGTTCTGGTACAGGCAATACAAACGCAGCTGCGACTGCAACAGCAACCGGGTCCAACAATTTCAAGTTGTCACAATCTGGAGGCAGGGCTCGGGTCACTCTTCGGTGTTTAAATCCAGGATAATCTATAAGGGCTGAGAGAATACATCCTACACCACGGACGTCTTGATAATGTAAGGAAAAGGCTTGATAGGTTTTGTTATCACACAGAAACACCCAGCCATTTGGGAGTCTATATCCATATGGCCATTTTACATGAATAGTAGAATTACAGTAAGAAGGCATATTAGTACAATTGATACATATACAACTAGAAACTATAGTGGTGCTAACTGGAAAATTCAATTGAATTTCTCGAGTAATAACCTTAGGGGCTAAAGTAATATTTATTCCAGAAATATTAGTAAACACTGAAAAAGGGAGTCCTATGCCTATCAAATTCTTCCTTAAGATCTCACTAATAGAGGAATCACTTGCTATACAAAAAGATGTCTTATTAAGCCCTTGATTAGCCAATTGCAACCACCTATTGGGTGAAGAATACTCATTCCTTGGGGTTAGTGAAATATACAAATAAACATAACTACTTTTATATATTTGATCAGGGCTTCCCTTCTGGAATTTTTCACAAGAATAATTGCCAATATTTTTCCAGGTTAAAACTGTTTTATAAATATCATAGCGGGTATTGTCTCTTTTAGACTGATCAGTAGCATTATCTCTACCAAGTTTTCCTCCATCTTTCTGTCTATATATTTCATTACCATCCTTTTTCCAAATCCGGGCCTACAGGAGTTGAACAAATGGAGATACAGTGAAGTACTACTCCACAGCCAAAGTACGGAGTACTGCTAATACAGGCCTGGGCTTTGTGTATGTGTATAGAGATTAGAATCAAAAACTTCATTATCATGTAGGGATCCTCACTCCAGTGACGGAACCGGTTGAGGGACATCGCCTGGGACAGCCATCTCAGATGGCCATGTTGCTAGGAGTTCCTCTTTATAGCGTATCTTGATCCACTTTCTAGGCAGCCAGATCAAGCGTTGGTCCTCTGTAATGACACAAACAAACCCTTTACCCCACACCTTAATATGACCTTTATGCCATTGTGAAGAACCTATTGGAGACCACCATACAGGAACTGGTGTTGTTTTAGAAAAAGAAATATGGTCAGAAAAATGCACTTCCATAGCTGATTGTCTGTCACCCTTTAAAAGACCAAAATTAAGGATATGTAAAGCATGTATTAATCATTGATTTGCAGTTAATTTTATCATATAGGGCAGTAATCCCCCTTTTTGTTTTAGTAAATATTGCTTAAGAGTAAGATGGCAATGTTCAATTAGAGCTTGGCCTGTAGAATTATATGAAATACCTGTTTTATGAGTGATATTATATAGCTGAAAAAAAATTTTTAGCATAGAGGAGAGGTAAACTGGAGCATTGTCAGTCAGCTTAAGAGAAAAAGCTTAAAATATTTTGTCAGCAACATTTGAAACAAAAAGCTACAAAATCATCTTCTCTAGTTTACTTAATCCTATGTAACCAATACCTGTTCTGCTGAAATCTAGTTCTTTACTAGTTTAGGAGTAATAAAACAGTGACTTTAAAGGACAAAAGACTTACAAATGACAATGGTTAAAGACTTGATGAGAGCTTACATAAGATAGTTGACATAAGAAAATTTGGATATTTCTGTAACACAAAACATTCAGTAACAAAGTTTAGCATCATTCCTTTTGACAGTGCTTTCTAGGTAAATATATATCAGATAAACAAGCCAAATTAGCCAATTTTTCCCGATAAGGAGAAAAAATTCTTTTGACATGTTCCAGGGGCCCTCTGGAAAATATCAGAGTTAATTAGAAGTA